GTAAACTACAAAAGCCAGTTTGCATCTTCATCATCTTTGCTTGTAAATATTTCCACAGGAATGATGCTGTGATTAGTGAGCTGTTTTGTTATTGACGTAAAGGAAACAGTGCCATACAAATGGTTTAATTGACATATAATCTTTTAATGTGAACACCATTGAACGAGGGGTCGAAACTGACATTCACCTGAAGGGACAGTACGTCGACGGCTGTGTGTGTTTTCCAAACATGCATGAAAAATGTACCGACTGTGACGTCACATCCCCGATTCATCATTCGTGACAAACTCGTGTTATTCCGGGAATAACCGAATACGGAAAGGGGCGAGTGGTGACGAATGCCGATTCATTTCTCAAACCAAAACAAAAGAGCTCCGCACAGTGAAGCCGACAACGCATGCGCCTTTTTACTGGAGGCAAATTAGAGAGAAAGCTCTTTTTCTTACGGCTGATTTACAAAATACTAATTGTCAACTTGCCAATCACTATCTTACCCAGGGGTCCTTGCAGGCAGCCTGGTATCTCTGTCACATCGCCACATCTGTCACCGTCCATTCAGGTGGTTTTCATCAGGTTTATTTTGGACGGGTCAACACATTCAGATAAACATACGTCATGAAATGTTTAACTCTCATTGAGAAAATATTCCAAAATACGAAAAACTGTTTCAATTTGTGTATAGATCCTCCATGTCCTGTTACCGTAGCCCTACGGAGAGCTAGCGATGTACAGCACTTTGATGTGTGAAGCTTATTGTCATGCCTCTCGCTGTCGCAGTTGTTGTGTGTTCTTATTTCAGAATAAGTGCGTTTGTTTACAAGCGAAAAGTCCGGTCACGTGATAAGCTGACACCGGTGTGGTCAGTGGAGGAGGTACGGAATAAGTCGAGCAGAGCCGAATAAGCTCGGGGGTTATCGGCTACTGTTTACAAACAAAGCTTTAGAACGGTCGATGTTCATTCGTGACCAACTCGTGTTATTCCGGGACAAGCCGAATAGCGACTCGTGCCTTTCTCTTAGCCATTTTTGCGACCGGGTTCCGTCTTAGCGCAAACAGGCATACCTAAAACAATTGTAAACTCGTTGCGTTATAGTTCACATATATTCCCCGTATATTATATATATTTCAGATGCAATTTAAAGCACATCTGGACATGCGGAATTATACAGTATGATTGTGCAGATTTAACTTGTCTTGTGTATATTTTTAGATGCAAGACATGTAAAATCAAAAATTATTTCTGAGGGATTCTTTGACGAAGAATTTGAAATCATACACGCATTCTGATTGGTTTGTCGTATTTTCGCACATAACATTCACGACAGGGGGGACGAGTCTTCTTGCAGGTTACGGAAAGGGGCGAGTGGTGACGAATGGGTCGATGTTCTGTCCCTTTATGAATTGACTTTCACTTTGTGTGGGTTCACTGGAGTATGAACCTTCATAGAGTAAGGCCCAAACTGTATGAACGTCGGAGCTTGCGACCATGTTTACACTATGTTTGGCCCTAACTCTATGAAGGGTCATACTCCCATGAGCACACACAAAATGAAGGTCAGCTCTCATAATTTTTTACATCACTATTTTTAACCTCGAATGATGAAGTTCTAAACGCAGTTTTGTTTAGTCTACGTGTAGCTAAATGTTTACACTGAAGGCCATACAACACCAACCTGTATCGCGGAATAAAGTAGTTCCTCCAAAGGAGAGGTGACGTGGGCGTATGTATGTTTACATTATTCTACAGAGACATCTTTTGCACTATGTTCAAACAAATATTATTCAAATATCATCATTAGTAGAGAAAGGCCTGTTAAGAACTACCTCAGTAGGTCAGTCATAATGACAGCGCGTCGTAATACATTTACATCAAGACGTCAAAATGGCCGACACGATCAACGTGACGGGAGAGATTTCCGAGTTGTTGATGAACATGTGGCGATTACAAGTGCTAGTCATCGTTGATCAATTTGCCTATCATTGAAAGGTGATAGTAAAGAGGTGATAACTAAACAGTAAGGTAAATTCATTGTTTGTATCTGTCTGTCTAGACACGGATCGAGTCAATAGGCCTACTATGATTGTTTAGATGTGTATTTCTACGTTTCGTTCACTAGGATATTTGTGAACGATCGTGCAGTCAAACTCTCTGAGATTTCTCAATCTATGCTAAAACGCTGAGTTCTAGATTAAAGGATCTAAATGATCAGAAAAACGCTTGTTTGTTATCGTGCTAGGGAATTCACAGGGGTTTCCCAAGGAATGTGGACGTTGTCCGTCATTTCAAGAATACAGTCTCGTAAAAAACGTATGAACGTCAAATTGTGTCGTTCATACACTTATGAACGTCAATGTCGCGACCATGAGACCTGCCTCTCGTCCAATGGAAAAGCCGTATATCGTGTAAACTTCACATTAAAATAATATAAGTGTATGAACGACACATTTTGGCGTTCACACGTTTTTCACGAGATTGTATTCTTGAAATCCCGTAAACACTGACGGACTACAGCCCTAATAGTTGGACCCTTTAATCCTTAAACTCTGTGTCTCAGCATACATTGAGAAAAGTCTGCCTTCCCGTGCACGGACACCCTCAATACCCTCCACGCTGGTGAACAGAATGAGGGTATGTACTCCCAAACTATCCACTCAGTCTGTGCCTAGATGGACAGTGAGAGTCTACAGAAACCTACAACAATCTATGAATTTACCCTCAGTATCTTTTTGAAACAGTTCTTTTAATAAATATATTGTTTTGGTAAAGTATCTGACGACAAGCGAAAGCTACGTTCGCACTCCAGTGTTCTCACACAAAGTGAAAATCAGTTCTTGATACGCGTCATCTTTGTCTATTTTGTGCAGAATTACGTCCCTTAGTCGTGTCAGGATCCTCCTGGGAAGTAGGTCCTACCCTTAATCCGTCAGCACCGTGACCGGACCTCACGAAAGAGGTAAACGTCTACAGTCTGCAACACTTGGGGCTTTCCTCCAAGATCAACCTGACCTGCCGTGATGTAACTAAAACTACTCTGCAAAACGGCAATAAACCCAACTCACTCACTCACTCACTCACTTCGGACAGAAACAAATGACCTGGTCATGTGAAGGATTGCCACAGTTGAATCTGACAACCTGGAATATATTTACAAATAGTTATTTTAACATCGACATTCCTTTTCTCCTTTAAAAAATAATGTGGTAGTGGTTTTCTCATCCGAAAAAACTTACTTTACACATATAGTCAATTATTTTCTTACTTAAACATGGCTAACAAGTAGAAATTAAAAATAATCGTGTGCTGAGTTGGTGAAAGATGGTGATGTCACTTCCGAGACGAGGCTGTGGTGATGAATGATTCCAGGGTATTTATCATGACGAATGGCAATACAATACCCTGGATTATCGAGGATGGGGTTCAGCAGAGGAAAGATTGTTTGTTGTTTAACGCAAGATTCAGCAATATTCCAGTTATATGACGGCGGTCTGTCAAGAATCGAGTCTGGAACAGACAGTCCAGTGATTGATGTCAAGAGCATTGATACACGCAATTGGGATACGATGACATGCATCAACCAAGTCAGCGAGCCTGACCACCCGATCCCGTTAGTCGCCTCTTACGACAATCATAGGTTCCTGAAGACCAATTCTAACCCGGATCCTCATAGGTCCAGCAGGTTGAATCAAATTAAATCACTGATACTAAACTGCAAGACAAACGAAAGTTTACACTTGAAAGTGTTTTTGAACAACACTACAAAGGTAAGGTCCAAAACACAACTATGATACTTGTATCAAATATATCACCGTTGAATAACCGTTTCCTGTTTGTTTCAATTTTAGCCACCACCAAATATGGTAGCACACTTTCTTTTACCCGTCAGTTTACGTCAGATATTGAGTTAAATATCAAAATCGGAGTGAGAAGGTTGGTTGGTTGGTTTGTTGTTTAACGCCGCACTCAGCAATATTACAGCTATATGACGGCGGTCTGTAAATAATCGTGTCTGGACCAGACAATCCAGTGATTAATATCATGAGCATCGATCCACGCAATTGGTATCGATGACATGCATCAACCGAGTCAGCGAGCCTGACCACCCGATCCCGTTAGTCGCCTTTTACGACAAGCATATTAGCCTTTTACGGCAAGCATGGGTTGCTTAAGACCAATTCTACCCCGGAATCTTCACGGGTCTGGAGAGTGAGAAGGGATTTCTAGCGCTGATCCAGGAACATCACGAACGATGACTATCATCGAAGGCTATCATTCCAGTTCATTAGAAATATCCCCATAGTTGATAGCCAGAGTGTCTCTGTCTGGTCAAGTCAATTTGACCCCCCAACCTAAAAAATGAATACAACCCTTCGGTGTGAGGAGATTACGCTGTGACGCTACCCATCGGCCCCTCACAACCCGAATCACATAAATAAAAAATCGGTGTTGTCTCAGAGTTCTTTTTGTATACATCTGTAGCATCTCTCAAAACCTTTAAAAGGGGGCGGTCGGGTAGCCTGGTGGTTAAAGCGTTCGCTCGTCACGCCGAAGACCCGGGTTCGATTCCCGACATGGGTACAATGTGTGAAGCCCATTTCTGGTGTCCCTCGCCGTGATATTGCTGGAATATTGCTAAAAGCGGCGTAAAATCATACTCACTCACTCACTTAAACATTTAACATTGATTCCAGACGTGTCTTTCAAGCAGAACCTCCCTGGGGTCCGGTAAATGCGTCCCACATAACAATGGACAACCACTTCAAATCTTTCAATGACAACAACATTGGCCATGGCGATTCCGTTGAAAGGGTAATGAATTATGCATCTTAATAACTAACAACTTACCAAAAGGGGACCCATAGGCAGCCTCACACCCGAGAGCACACACACAGAGAAGCTACCCGCGATCTGTACTTTACATACCAACTCTAAATCGATACCTTTTTGTGTTTCACACTGGGCCATGCCATACTTAATGAATGAGAGTCATCAGCTTGGCGTTGCGCCACACAGCCAATATCAGCCTAATGCACTGCGGTGTCTGTGTGTATATGTATCCGTTGTCAGTGCTGAGAAAAGCAAAGGATCACACTGAGAGCTTGTCATAGGGTGGAGCTGCCATCTCGCTGATTCACGTTAACATCTCGTCTCGCCGAGTCTTGAGACTGTGCGGTGCTATCACGAATTTAGGTGTCTCTTTTCACATCTTTTGGAACATCTTTTCGTCGTGTTTTCATCTTTATATAAGAACACAGTTTTCAAGGAATACATCACCTGAACGGGGTTGGTGACAAAATGTCCAAACGTCACATTTTCAATTTAAATGGGACAAAGTTTGAGTTGAGCAAGCAAGTGTTTTTTAAACTCGTGGAGTGTAAAAATGTCGCTCTCCCTGAACCGGATGTGACAAACAGTAAAGGAAAGGAATACTTTTTTGAGAGGAATGCTGGGTGTTTTGAAGCCATCTTGGAATACGCGCAACACGGGACTCTTCACATGCCTGCCACCGTGTGTCCAAATACGTTTCAACGAGAGCTGGAATTTTGGAGAGTGGACGCCAGGCTTATGGCTCCTTGCTGCTACCGGAAGTATTTGGCTTTCTTTGACGATGAACGAACCCTGAAACGATTTGAACAAAATATACCCCTGCAAGAACCAAAGGTGAAAGGTCAATCCAGCAGAGGTTGTAGAGCAAGGACGTGGGCGCTGCTTGATGACCCATCTTCGTCTGTCGGGGCAAAGGTAAGATGATGAGTTTTGCCACGCCTGTTACGCCTATTGGAGAGTAAGTGAGTGAGTGGGTTGGGGTTAACGCCGCTTTTAACAGTATTACAGTTATATCACGGCGTTTCAGCTTAATGTGGGAGGAAAGCCCGAAGTGATGCAGGTCTCAGACGTTTACCACTTCGGTGAAATCCACGAGAATAGGGATGGTGCTGACAAACCTAGAAAAATAAACGGGGCGAACCGGGGCTCGAACCAACAATCATAGGTTTCTGGCGTGCCGAAGGGACGCAACTCTGCACAGCGAATCGCGGCGCCTTAGACGACTGGGCCACCCGTGTCTCCCCCCCCCCCCCCCCCCCCCCCCCTTCCCCCTAATGGAGAAAATAAACGAGACTGATTTTTCTCTGGTGTTGGAGGGGCGGTCGGGTAGCCTAGTGGTTAAAGCGTTCGCTCGTCACGCCGACGACCCAGGCTCGATTCCCGACATGGGTACAATGTGTGAAGCCCATTTCTGGTGTCCCCCGCCGTGATATTGCTTGAATATTGCTAAAAGCGGCGTAAAACCATACTCACTCACTCTGGTGTTGGATTTAGCTACCGTGTGCTTTATTGCGATGCTATAAAATCCTATGTAGATATCGCAAGACTTTTTCGGAATAGAGACCCTTTGGGTACACGGATGGACCCGTTGTTATAGCGCTACGATTGGTTTTAGCAGAGTTGCGTCCCTTAGGTGTGTCAGAAACCTATGATTGCAGGCACGAATACCAGATTTGCCTTGATATTGTCCTTTTCCTGTCAGCATTATGTTTATGTTCGTTGTTTTAACCCAATGGTAAACCTCTAAGACATGCAGGACGCATCACTTCCGCCCTTCCTCCTGAAATACTTAAACTAGTCACACTCCCTCACTTTCACAACGCTACCTCGAAGTTCCGATTTCAAGCTGTTAAGCGTCCATTTCATTGAGGTCACGGATGGCCCAGATCCCCCTCACAAGTACTCGTTTGTTCTTTGTTCGAATCTTAGATTCATACGATTACAATCTCATTAAAATCAGATCTTTGTTCTCGCTATCGCTAAACAAAGATCTGAGGACGTCTCATTAAGGGTCACGTCAGAACGACCTTTCATCCAACCAATCAGAGCGTCGTTTACCAGATCATGAAAGTGACAGTCGGAATGTGTTTTCTAATCATGCAACCACGATTTGACACGGGGTATTCCGAACGACAGTTACGGGTTTTATGATTATATCCATACAATCTAGGCCATCTATAAGCCATTCATGAGTGTTCTTCTTATCAGTTTTAATTTTTTAAATCGAGAATACGTAAAAATTTGTTTCGAAGCGTAGTCATAAAGCTCGAGAGCGCTGCCGTCTGATTGGCTAATGTCGATTTCTTGTCAGTCATTCCATTGGTCGGTCAAAATTCGCGAAAGGTCGTTCTGACGTGACCCGTAATGGAATGACCTCAGATCTTTGTTTAGCGGTAGCGAAAACTAAGATCTGATTTTAATTAGATTGATACAATTATGACACTCGTGTTCGGAAGTATTTGCCATTTTAGACCTCCCATTTGATTTGGAACAACCTAATTTTCTTTCTAATGCTTGGGGGGTCATCTAAGGCGCCCGCGATTCGCTGTGCAGAGTTGACACCAGAAACCTATGATTGTGGGTTCGAATCCCGGTTCGCCCCGATTCTGTTCCTAGGTTTGTCCGCACCATACTCGTGCTCGTGGGTTTCACCGAAGTGGTCAACGTCTGTGACATGCATCACTTCGGGCTTTCCTCCCACAATAAACTGACACACCGTATACTGTTAACTGGAATACTGTTAAAAGCGGCGTTAACTCACTCACACACTCACTCTTGCTTATTGTATTACGTCATCACAGGCAGATGCTCTTTCCATCAATCACGATTTAGCCGCTCGAGATAAACCTTCTTAACGTCGGTGTGATATGGTGTTTATTATGGTGAAAACATTAACTCACCTTATATTTTTTTAAGGTTTACCTGGGAGTCTCAACAGCGTTCGTCTTGATATCGCTGTTCGTTTTAGCAGCAAGCACCCACCCCTGCTTCCAACGAGATCTTGACGAGAATGAATGGACTTTGGTTCTTGGAAAAGATGGCTACAACAAACACAAAGATCGATTACCTGTGCATGGACCTCCCAAACCCGTCCAAGGTCAAGTTCAAGGTCAGGCTACAGGTCAAGTTCAAGGAGGCGGTAGAACATCCCCAATTCCTGTTTCGGGGACACCGCCTCCTGACCCTACTGCCAAGTTAGACGGTGAAGAGAAGGAGGATGAACTGGATATCGATACGGCCTCAATGCACTCGCGGCAAATCTTTTTGACGTATATGGAGTACGCAACTATAGCCTTCTTCACTCTGGAAGCAATATTCAGAATCATTTTCTGTCCTAGCAAGTTACGCTTCTTCCGAAATTTTCTAAACATAATGGACCTCGTAAGTTTGGTTGCAATGTACACGACGACCACAGTTGAGAATCTCCTCCCAGAAGAGCGGTACAAGAGCTCGGTTCTGGATTACGTGGAAATTCTGCAGATTCTGCGAATTTTCCGAGTGTTCCGAATCGTTAAGGACGTGATCGGGTTCCGCGTTCTTGTTTATTCCCTGCATTCCAGCGTCCGGGAAATATTTCTTCTCCTCCTTTACCTCTCCATCGGAACAGTCCTCTTCGCCAGCGTCATGTACTTCCTGGAGAGAGAGAACATGCGCAGTATCCCTGACGCCGCTTGGTGGGTGGTCGTTACCATGACAACAGTCGGGTATGGAGATATGTCACCGATCTCGCTTCAGGGGAAGCTGCTCGGATGCCTTTGCGCCATCTGTGGGGTGATTCTAATCGCCGTCACGGTGCCAATCTTTGTGAGCAACTTCCTACTATTTTATACGTATTCAAAGGCGATCGAGGAGATTGAGGGCGGTGAGCAAGAAGGCAGTGAGTCTGTTGACGAGGCATGGGGACGCATAACTAGACAAGATGGCGTCCAGTTTAAGACACGCATGGCGGAAGCGAAAAAGGGAGTTAATACAGTGAAACCTCAAGAAACGATTATCCTGGATGATGTAAAGTTTTGATCTGATAGCTGCAACACGTTTAACTCGAAGTTAAAGCGGATTTAAGTGCAGCTTCGAGGTAAAATGGTGAATATGAACCTGCAGTCATTAGTATTTTTTTGTTCCGGCGAAAATCGTAAATGTTAAATCGACATGTATTCGACGAATGTAAGACGTCAAATTAACGATACGTGAACTAGGGAGGTGGTGAATGACAGCTGACACAAGCCCAATCAACCACTGCGCCACTGTTTGCTATGCAGAGTTGCGTCCCTTGGGTGTGCCAGCAAACTGCACGTGTGATCGTTGGTTCGATTTGGGTTCTTCCCGCATGAAGCTGATACGCTGTGATCTAACTGAAATACCGTTTTCCTGCGTTTAACCGTCCACACTCACACACTCACCCCAGTAAAACGAGCAAGTTGTCGAGGGTCGAATGTACGGTATCGGTTTCAAATCAGATTTTGTTATTGTTATTTTATTATTGAGATAGACGTGGGTACATGCGTATTTACATGTTATAACTAAATTGCAATAACCTAAATGGCTCAAGTTCAGTAAACTACGGTTATAGCGAACTCAAAGGGACTACTAATATTAGTTCGTTATAACCGTAGTTCGTTATAAGCATATATACAGCATAACTACAGCAAACAGTCGGGACCAAAAAAGTAAGTTCGTTATATCCGTCAGTTTGTTATATGCGTGTTCGTTATAACCGTAGTTTACTGTAAGTTGTTTTGGATCCAGTCACATTTGAAGCTTTAATACATAGTCAGCATCACGTCTGACACGTGGTTCCTACCCAAGCCCATATACTTCCAGTAAACAGTTATCTTTCTACAAATTTAGGCAAAAATATTTGTGTTTTATTTTATTCTATTGATATTTTTCTTTTCTAAATTATGTTTTTGGTCAAAATGAAAATAATTTCCGGTACAATCTGAGACCAATTCGAACATTAATTTGTCGATCGTTTGCTGAATAACACCGACACGGTCTTAACAAATAAAACTGTTTGTTGTCGAATTTTGTAAAGAGGTATGTTGACGTCGAACTTGGTAAAGAGGTTTGCCGACGTCGAATATTATGTAAAGAGGTCTGTTGACGTCGAATTTGGTAAAGAGGTATGCTGACGTCGAATTTGGTAAAGAGGTATGTTGACGTCGAATTTTGTGAAGAGGTATGTTGACGTCGAATTAGGTAAAGAGGTATGTTGACGTCGAATTATGTAAAGAGGTATGTTGACGTCGAACTTGGTAAAGAGGTATGCTGACGTCGAATTTTGTAAAGAGGTATGCTGACGTCGAATTTGGTAAAGAGGTATGTTGAAGTAGAATTTGGTAAAGCGGTATGTTGACGTCAAATTTGGTAGAGAGGTATGCTGACGTCGAATTTGGTGAAGATGTATGTTGACGTCGAATTTGGTAAAGATGTATGTTGACGTCGGATTTTGTGAAGAGGTATGCTGACGTCGAATTTTGTAAAGAGTCATGCTGACGTCGAATTTTGTGAAGATGTATGTTGACGTCGAATTATGTAAAGAGGTATGTTGACGTCAAACTTGGTAAAGAGGTATGCAGACGTCGAATTTTGTAAAGAGGTATGCTGACGTCGAATTTTGTAAAGAGGTATGTTGAAGTAGAAATTGGTAAAGCGGTATGTTGACGTCAAATTTGGTAGAGAGGTATGCTGACGTCGACTTTTGTGAAGATGTATGTTGACGTCGGATTTTGTGAAGAGGTATGCTGACGTCGAATTTGGTAAAGATGTATGTTGACGTCGAATTTTGTGAAGCGGTATGCTGACGTCGAATTTGGTAAAGAGGTATGTTGACGTCGAATTTTGTAAAGAGGTATGTTGACGTCGAATTTTGTGAAGAGGTATGTTGACGTCGACTTAGGTAAAGAGGTATGTTGACGTCGAATTATGTAAAGAGGTATGTTGACGTCGAACTTGGTAAAGAGGTATGCTGACGTCGAATTTTGTAAAGAGGTATGCTGACGTCGAATTTGGTAAAGAGGTATGTTGAAGTAGAATTTGGTAAAGCGGTATGTTGACGTCAAATTTGGTAGAGAGGTATGCTGACGTCGAATTTGGTGAAGATGTATGTTGACGTCGAATTTGGTAAAGATGTATGTTGACGTCGGATTTTGTGAAGAGGTATGCTGACGTCGAATTTTGTAAAGAGTCATGCTGACGTCGAATTTTGTGAAGATGTATGTTGACGTCGAATTATGTAAAGAGGTATGTTGACGTCAAACTTGGTAAAGAGGTATGCAGACGTCGAATTTTGTAAAGAGGTATGCTGACGTCGAATTTTGTAAAGAGGTATGTTGAAGTAGAAATTGGTAAAGCGGTATGTTGACGTCAAATTTGGTAGAGAGGTATGCTGACGTCGAATTTTGTGAAGATGTATGTTGACGTCGGATTTTGTGAAGAGGTATGCTGACGTCGAATTTGGTAAAGATGTATGTTGACGTCGAATTTTGTGAAGCGGTATGCTGACGTCGAATTTGGTAAAGAGGTATGTTGACGTCGAATTTTGTAAAGAGGTATGTGGACGTCGAATTTTGTAAAGAGGTCTGTTGACGTCGAATTTGGTAAAGATGTCTGTTAGCGTCAAATGTGTTAAGGAACATTTATTTGCATATTGACATCCCACTTTCACCACATGATTATTTTAATACAACAGGCATGTAATTAAGCGCGCACATGCTGAAAGTATAGATAATAGTTACATAATCGATATATCAGGCCTTCACCTATGCTGCTGAACTAACTTTACTGTTTTCTGTTGACACATCGGAGACGCCTGGTATTGACACGCACTGGGTTATCTTGATACGAAACAGAACTTAATGCATGTATGTAGCAATCCCCTGAGGGTTCTGTAATTAGCAATTACGTTTCTGTTATTGCATATTTTGCCTTAACGCTTGTTCATGTCGTGGCGGAGGATTGAAACGACCACTGTCCATGCAGGTTCTGACTCTAGCCCAGACAGTGAAACCCCGTTTATCCGGACACGTGTTAATCAGGACGCTTTGGAACGCCAATATCACGCTCCGTATTAACAGGGTTCCACCGTATTTCCATTTCAAAGTGCGAGACACCCAGTGGTTGATAGCTGGGCGATGATTCTCGCCTTCAGGGCATGATGAGGATAGACATGTAGCCAGGTCCCACAGTGGGAAAAACCCGATCTCATTACAGTAACTTAAAATTGAAAAAAAATGGCAACCATTTCAGTAAAAATGTCATTATTTGTTATTTACAAATAAAACGGTAACATCAAAGATGGAGATGAAGATGATGATGAAGTTTATCTGACCTTTTTTTTCGGAGTCTAATAAACAAGTTTCACCTCGAATCAATTATCGAAATCCAAATTGGTACACATTGCATTCCCTATTCCATTATATTCGATAAGTTTCAATCGCTATTTATAACTTTATCAGCATATCATGTTTGTTTATTTTTTTAATTGTATATGTGCCCTTTTCTGTAAATTTACGAATGTGTCTAAATATGTATTCATGTACCTTTTATACCACTGTTTTTGGCCTGGGCGTAATAAAGTTCAGTTCACTTATGTGGGGGATCGGGTGGCCACGTGGCAAAGACTCAACAACGTAATATACAGAATTGTGGGTTCGAGTCTCAAAGTATGTCCGATTATGACCCTTGATTTGTCGATGCTGCTACCACAGGCACTACATTGTTTTTGGCATCTAACCGACAGTGATATACAGTGACAGTATTGTATACACCGGGATTAAACTGAACCTCATCAGTCTCTTTACAGATGCGTCTAAATAAGATGCGTAAGTCGTGTTCGGCATTGAGATTAGTTTTGTTTTTGTTTATGCAACTAAGTTGCTGAAATTAAAGCCATTGTTGTATAGTTTAGGGATTGTTTTGTGTACAGTAAAACTTGATAAATTGAAATATCATCTGGTATGTTGTCTTTATAAGCTGGTATGTTGTGTTTATCAGCTGGTATGTTGTCTTTAACAGCTGGTATTTTGTCTTTATCAGCTGGTATGTTGTGTTTATCAGCTGGTATGTTGTCTTTAACAGCTGGTATTTTGTCTTTATCAGCTGGTATGTTGTCTTTATCAGCTGGTATGTTGTCTTTAAAAGCTGGTATGTTGTCTTTATCAGCTGGTATGGTGTCTTTAACAGCTGGTATGATGGCTTTATCAGCTGGTGTGTTGTCTTCATGTTGTTTTTATCAGCTGGTATGATTGCTTTAACAGCTGGTATTTTGTGTTTAAAAGCTGGTATGTTGTCTTTATCAGCTGGTATGGTGTCTTTAACAGCTGGTATGATGGCTTTATCAGCTCGTGTGTTGTCTTCATGTTGTTTTTATCAGCTGGTATGATTGCTTTAACAGCTGGTATTTTGTGTTTAAAAGCTGGTATGTTGTCTTTATCAGCTGGTATGGTGTCTTTAACAGCTGGTATGATGGCTTTATCAGCTGGTGTGTTGTCTTCATGTTGTTTTTATCAGCTGGTCTGCTGGCTTTAACAGCTGGTATGTTGGCTTTAACAGCTGGTATGCTAGCTATAACAGCTGGTATGTTGTATTTATGTTATCAGTATCAGCTGGTATGTTGTCTTTATCAGCTGGTATGTTGGCTTTATCAGCTGGTATGTTGGCTTTAACAGCTGGCGTGTTGTTTTTTATCAGCTGGTATGTTGGCTTTAACAGCTGGTGTTTTGTTTTTTATCAGCTGGTATGTTGGCTTTAACAGCTGGTATGTTGTCTTCATGTTATCATTATCAACTGGTATGTTGTGTTTATCAGCTGGTATGTTGTCTTTAACAGCTGGTATGTTGTTTTTATCAGCTGGTGTGTGTCATGTTGGCTTTAACAGCTAGTATGTTGGCTTTATGAGCTGGTATGTTGTCTTTATCAGCTGGTATTTTGGCTAGAGCTACTGTGCATTCATCAAGTTAATGACTGAAATTATGAACAGTTGCTTCAGTTGTATATTTCTCATTTCTAAGAGTGAGAGTGAGTGTGAATTTTGTTTTACACCGCTCTGAGTAATATTCCCAGCACCGCGGAGAACACAAGAAATCGTCTTCACACATTCTACCCATGTGGAGAATCAAACCCGGGCTTTCAGTGTGACGGGCGAACACTTTAACCACGGGGCTACCCCATCGTTCCAGTTCATTTGAAGGGTTACCACAGTTTATAACCAGGAGAATCTCTCTGGTCAGGTCAATTTTACCCGAAAACTCAAGAAAATTAATGTAATGCACCATGTGTTTTGTAGGATCAGGTACAGGACAGGATTTTTAAGGGATATTATTTTATAATAATTAATGAGTGAAATGCACAAGGTTGTGTTAGGTTGATACAAAGTTTCATAGTCAACAGTTTTAAGGAAGGAACATATTTATTGTGCACTGCTTTATTCAATGACGCGCGGAATTTATTTTTGTAACATGTTCTCTATGTTTAAATAAAATGTGGCCTCCCCTACGTGTTGTCTTGTTTATAAGATCCGCGAAGATCCGGTTTAGAATAGGTCTTCAGCATCACATGCTTGTCTTGAGAGGCGAATCGGGTGGTCAGACTCGCTGACTCGCTGACTCGCTGACTCGCTGACTCGCTGTTGGTGTATGTCATCGTATCCTATTGCGTAGGTCGATGTTCATGATGTCAGTCACTGGATTGTATGGTCCCGACTCGATTATTTACAGATCGCCGAAATATAGCTGGAATATTGCTGAGTGCTTTGTTAAAGAACAAAGTTTCGAACGACAATAAACAAAGCACGAGCCACATCTCCGAATGAATTGCCTGTAACTGCCGTCGGTTTAGTCCTACAAAGGAGCTGTGTTGCCGATCTATCGATCTATCGATCTGATATTATCTGTGTTAGCTCACGTACAAAAGAGTGAGTGAGTGAGTGAGATAGGTTTACATCCCATTTTCACAACATTATTGAGGTCAGCTCAATGACGGAGGCACGCTCAGCGTCTCCGGGTATAGGGTATAGTGTTCTCAGAATCCATTTCGAAAGACTACGTAGACTGATGCAGTCCTTTCATTGTAATAACATTTAAATAAGGTCTCAAATTAATTCAAACAGGCTAGGCAGCAAAATGCAACATCAAAATATATCTGTGACATTGCTTCAAGAAAATAAGAAAATAAATTCGTTTGTTTCGAGAGGTTTTCTTACATTCGTAACACACCAAGGGCGAGGAAAGGTGTATCTCGGAATTGTTTAAATTATTTATTAAATTCATATTAGATACCGGCAGTGGATCCATACCTGAATAATTCCCATTTGTGTTGGGATTTATGCATAGGTTTGTTTCATGGTTCCAACATCCAGTTAAGTCTTCTGAGATCGAATGACGTCGTTGTATGTGAATGAAGTGTGTATTAATCTTCCCCCAATGACTCAAGTACACAATGCGCGTGGCCTCAGTTTCCTTCCCCTTGGTGAAATAACATATACATCATATATATACATCACGATTTTTTATTATGTTTATATCAAATATCAAAACAAATATGTCAGTAAAGCAGAGTCAGAACCACTGCGCTTCTTGAATATGCATTATGAAATGCCGGGTAAAAGGAAGCATACACTTGAAAATTGGATTTGACAAAAAAAATTACAAACGTTTTTGAAACGTTATTAGGCTGAAACAGTCGCCGAAACACTGCATACTTAAGGTACAAATCGCAACTGTGCTCCCCGTATCCAATACATCTCCATCGAACAACCATTTCACACTTTCGCCATCTTGGATCGAAAACGAGGCTTGGAGAGCATAGCTCCATCCAGTGTGAGTCGCATCAGCTGATAGGGAACAGAGTGCATGTTGTGCATTTCACTGATGGACAGTGTATCTAATACAGAAGATATTTCACATTTAATCCTGATGTCCAACTAAAATATGCATGTAATACACTGGAATTCGCATTTTGCTGTGAATCGAAAGGTGCAATTCGAGATACGTATTTCCGAAATAGATTGTTTTATCATAACCTCGTCGGCACATGGGTACTTTAATTTTCCTTCAAACATCACTGATTTAACCGATTATAGACGATTAGGATTGCACCATGTACGACAAAAGTAATAATGTGGGAAATCTTTAAAATAAATTGAAATGAAACTTAATAAATAAATTAATAAATATAAATATTGCATGTAATAGAAGAATTGAACCAAAAATCAACTTCTTGAACACCCTGACCTAATCCTATATGATGATAGGGAGTTGTATACCAAGAGGAGGTTACTGATACAATTGTCCTGAATAGTATGAACATGACTTGATCAGATATGGGTACAGATAAAATAACAAAAGATGAAAAGGAATCAACTTTAATTGGTAATCAAACCAAGATAAAATAAATGTTCCGGTATAAATTATGTAGATGGAATGAGACAAAATAACAAAAATAAACTAATCAGCATATATCAATCACTGTAAAGAGGTTAAAATATGTGATGTGTCATTTATAACATCAAATTAAAAGCCAAATATAAGTTTGCTGTTCCTTTTTAGTCATAGCATGACAATGATTAATTATTTGTTTGATTTCCGAATGACAATAGAAACCAAGTCAGTAGATTAATTAAAGAATTAAGGTTGCAATCTCGGTCTGTAGATAGATTTGGTTACACTTCAGTTCAGAGTGACAAGAATAAATTTAACTTGTCTTCTTTAAAACTTTTGTACATATACTCTTTCTTTGACACTGATCATGAAACCACTGGCTACCAAACTATTCATACTCCAAATCTACTGAACACAATTACATAAGTGTTGTGGAATATAAAAATAAATTTGGCAACCTGCAGGATAAGAGTTATTGAAACAGGTTTTCAAATGTACCAGTGAGTGTGGCTGGTCTAAATAATGAAGTTCATGCGGATAAATGTATGATTTGATAATACTTATAACCAAACAAAAATATCAAAGTAATCTATTCATAAATTTTTTTAAATAAATATACAAATATATATTTACAGTCTATTTTCAGTCAATCTTGAAAACTGGATAATGTAAATATTACATTGTTTATGAATCATCCAAAACTGATTATATATACCAAATCATACATGTAGATTATCATGTGTCATCATGAGAAAATCTGAGTTTCGAAGGAAGTATTCATATTTAACATCAACCCACCATGAGTCTGATAAATATTTGCCATGTTGTTGAGTGAGTGAATAAGGCTTTTCACTTCCTCGTCCTTTTTAAGTGAAATGTGACAGAAAGCACATTTGTTGATTGAGTGAATAAGGCTTTTCACTTCCTCGTCCTATTTAAGTGAAATGTGACAGGAAGCACATTTGTTGATTGAGTGAATAAGGCGTTTCACTTCCTCGTCCTATTTAAGTGAAATGTGACAGGAAGCAAATTGTAACCAGTGTGTTACTATCAGCAGAAGGCTCCTCAAGACATCCATCAACAGATACTTCATTGTGTTGACTCTCTGGACTCCAAGCCTGAAATAAATAATTCAATAATATTGTAATAATATTTCTACTTCTGTGATTTTTTTTATAACAATGCATATTCACCTTCTCTCAAAATATTACTTATTCAGAAACAACATTCTTCTGAAATAGAAATTTTTTAGGAAAATTAATCACAGTGAAATATACATTACACGCTACTTTAGAACAATCTTGAAGGTATCAATTCATCTGATATGTCTAAAACAGTATATTCTGTGCAAACACAATAGATGCATCAATTTAATGACAGAGTGTACTACAGTTCTTTATATCTATGCCACACAGAAATTCACTCTTCTTTTAATTAAACAGGTTTTGATATTTGTGTTATGTATTTAATCATGAAATACTTTTTTTAGTCGGACCATGCTGAAAACATACTTTCGCTAGACTGAAATATATAAGATTATTAAAATCAGGTGAAATATCACGTTTTGTCACATCTCCAGTCAGTCTGCCTCATTGACACTATGGTTTTCTGAGTAAGGTCATTACATTACAAAGAAAATATAAATTGATATTTTGACTTGTGGCTGTGCCACTCATGAAAATATTAACTTTGTCAGATCAATAGATGAGATAAATTCATGCTATCGTCGTTATTTGGCAAGGAAAACAAATTCCCTCCATGTATTTATACATTTATATATTTCTCGTTTTGATTGAATTATCAAAATGATCAAAATGATCACACCACTTGACTTGATTAAAATAAACTACAGTTCTAAAGATTGTTAACAATAGCAAAATATTACATCTTAACAGTATACTTATTACACACTTACACAGTAAGCACAACTAGTATCTAATATATAAATAATATGGTTAAAAATAAATAATACATTGCTTGCACAAAAGAAATTATTTTGTTCTAAAAGTTTCAAAATATGTTTGTGTTCATAAAACCAGATGGATTTCACAATTTAACAAAGGGAATAAATGAGTTATGATTGCAATACCGATGGGATTTACACAACATTTATAAAAATAATTCTGTTTATAGTAATCTCACTCTCAATTTATGAATGTGCAACATTTGAAAAAAATTATAACTGTTATGGTACAGTGTTTCAATATTGCTTGTTTTTTGTTGTTGTTGTTTTTGGATTATTTGAGGTATTATTTACATGTTATTATTATATAATGGAAATTAATGATGGTCTAGAATTACAATTTTTGCCCTTTCACAGATCAATATGTTATGGATGTCAGCTAAGCACGTCTGCCACGAGAGCTGGAGGAAAAATATTAAAGTAGAAATATATGGTTAGCAATTAACAACAACAATGAAGATGTACTTACTGTAAACTTCAACTTTGGCATCGCGGAGGAATGTTTTTGGTTGCCATAGTAATAACAATTATATTCTGGCAAGGCTCTTGAAAAACAATTGCACGTCATGCTGGGGGGGGGGGGGGGGGGGGGGGGGGGGCGATAGGGTCGCACTATTGACTCCACATTGTCTTGCTTCACGTTGTTCGTCGTCTTCTGTACCTGATCAAAAATATAAATGTTTATGACAACACTCGATGAGTGCAATGACGTCAGGCGGTGGTGTTGATCCCTCGGCGTCACGTAGTTTGATTTTCTCAATTATCTTTTTGGTTCAAACAATAACAGTCTGTAAAGTGTACACTAAATAAATAGAAACAATATTCAGGGCTATCGACCTACATATGATCGTATCATCGAGTACGTGATTGAATGCTGTTGAAAGCCGCAGTTCGAACTATTCCTGCTATAAAGGGGTTTTGGAATGTGTCAAATATTGGCAGTCTCTTTTCAATATGCAGGAATCCCGTTTACCCAGACAATGTTACAATACGTTGCGCTTGTACAATGATCAAGGCCACGTAAATTGGGTAACAAAACTTTTTATTTTTAAATTTTAAATATTTTTAAACATGTTACGTCAACGGTTAAAAGACAACTTTTTCAGGTTTGGCATATTGAAATATCTGAAAGCCCCCAAATGGTTTATCATGCA